TTGTTGGACACGGTTTAAGATAGTACCACAGATTTTATAAAACAATATTTTTAATATAATCTAAGATGGTACTTTCTTAAATCGTGATATTGGATCATATACCAATTTTATTGTTGATCTAATCCCCATACTTATATTTTGTTTAAAAAATACGGAAATACGGAATACCGACAGTAGGTCCATTCGACAAAACGCCATAATCATAACCCGACAAAATGCCATCGTATTATACTACCAACCGTATATTTGTGCTTTATAATGTTAGGTATCTTCGATAATTATATCGACAAAAAGTCACCTAAATTAATCAACTATTACCAAATTAAATTAAGTTTCAGCCGTTTCAGGTGGAAAATTTAAAATAGGAACTAATAATAAAATTCTAATATTAAAATTAAAACTGAGGTCATTTTTTAAAATTAAAATCCAAAAAATAAAACAGCACAGGCCCTGATACTTTATATTTTAATCTAAAATATGATTAAAAAACTTGAAGGCCATGCCCCCTAATTTTGTCCTTTATACACATGTTCAAATGAATAAATAACAATATTTTTAGGTATAAATAAATAACAAACTAAAAACAATTATTTAAAGTACCAACAAAATATTGTTTTATGGGTTGACTGCTGAAGTCACAGACATATAAATATATATTATACTTATATATATTTATATGTCAATGCTATGGCTGAAGTGCCTGTAAGCGATGATGCGTTAGTTGAATAGTGGTAGGAGTTTAGAATGTTTCAAGCAGTTGTCTACTATTTGTATAAACTGTATTTACTATCTTGAATTGTATTCACCTAGATAAAGCTTTTGAAATAGATAAGCTTAAAATGTAATTTATATGCCTACTTAATATTATCAATTAACGTTGAAACAAAACAAATCCGATATGGCCGAACCCATGTCACTTTAATATTGTAAATACCTACTTCCAATATTTAATTGATTTAATTTCTGTAGATACCTATGCACCTTTGTCCTTTAATAAGTGAATATTTATTAGGTTTTGAATAGTTTTTTTCGACTGTCCATGATAACTATACGTATACAAAAATTTAATGTATTTGTAAAAAAATATAAAATATGCCATATTTCTACTATAATTATAATAGAAAATAGTATGATATAGGTACCTATTATGACGTAACCAAAGGCAACCATTTAAACAAAAAATATATTCTAAAGTATATTCTTTTTTCGTGGCCCAATCCTGCAGAGGTTTTAAGCGTGCTTAGCAACCCTAAACTTGTAATTATCTTAAACATTAATTATTTTTTATTTTTTATTTTTTATAAGATATATACAATCTGTTCTTTTAGGGGCAATAAGAATAATTGTGCTATTAGAAAGTATTTACATGAAAACGTGATGGGAGGAGTCACCCAGTGGTTACACTACCCTTACTTGATAATTTTTTTTTTTATGTATAAAGCTACTTTAATTACTCATTGAAAAGATCTCTACACCATTCCTTCTGAGCCTCCTGGAAAGGTTCCCCGGAATTGTGAAAGTGGGCGGTGGGTTTGAAATGAGGGGGTTGGTATGAGAATTGAGTTTTGAATGGAAATGTTTGTAAAAGGTTACTTCTTCTTCGTGGACTGTTTTAATTTTTAAATCGGTGTGTAAGGTTAGGTTTGAAATATAAGGAGGAGAATTTGTGATTTTACGAAGGGTGTTATTTTGGAAGGTTTGAATTTTATTAGTGTTGGAGTTTTTGGCATTGCCCCAAAGTCAAAGAACATAGGTCCACATAGGCTTAAACAAGGATTTATAAATTAAGAGTTTAGTATTTAATGGAGTGTGTTTGTTTTTGGTAATTAGAGTTTTGAGGATGCGGAGACATGCATTTAAGGCAAGCCTTTCAATTTTAATATGACGTGACCATGTGAAACAATAATTTAAGAAATTTAAAAATCTTGAACATACACTTACCACTATTATCGGCCAAGAATCAAGATATAACTATAGTTCATCGGACTTTTTAATTATACACATAGAAAAAGATATGGTTAGGACGTTAGGTAACTAATTTTTAATAATGAAACTATTTCAAAAAAATATGCTGAAAAACAAGTATCCATTCTAATTACATTTTTAGTATAATTACAGTAAAACAACAATATTATAATTTCAAAGTTCCAAATAACAACATTTTCTGTTTAGTGGAATTCTGGAAGTATAGTCAGGTTTACTGTCAAAAAGACTTCGCTAAGGCATAATATGTAAATTTCACTGTACCTAACTTAAGTTATAAACCTAAAAATAAGAAATAATAATTTGATTTGCATAAATTGTTATGATTATAGCTATGAGTTTATTACAATTAAAACCTTAAAAATGCATTTTAAACCTCGAAATGAATATAAAATTAAAAATATAAAACGTATACAAATCTGCAGTCAAGTTCTACAATTATATTTTTAATTATACACACAATAATTAGTTCAAAAGAATGATTCAGATCTATTTATTATATAAAATAATATCTTTATTTCGAGGGTATACCAGGTTATCAGAATTTCAAATATGTGCATCATAAAAAAAAACGGTTAACGTTCGGCTCTACATTTGGTTACTAGAGAACCACTGTATTAAATTTGAATTCAATGATATAAAATCATTGTATAAGAAAAACGATTCTGAGTGAAGACGGTCTGTCTATAACATAACTAAGTAGTTAGGTACGTATATAAGCATACCTTTTAGGTGATTTTATTGTGATTTAAGTCATTTATTTTACTATACTTAGGCGTCGTAGGTACTATGTAATAGTCAATAGTATGCTAATATATAAGTAGAGGTAAAATTAATTTTTGTAGAAAAAATTAAATTTGAAGATATAATTGGCTTAAAATAAAACAATATACCTACTCTGAAATTTTCAAGTACAAACAAAAAAAAATCAACTAAATTCGCTTATATATTTTTTAGATTTTTCGTCTACAGAATTAACTACTTAAGGGCATCCTTATTTTACATTTTTAATAATAAGCTATAAAAATTGTTTTATACATTTTTAACTAAAAATAATTTGTACATTTTTTATTTTATAAATGTTGTCAACATATTTTGATCTTTAAATGATCATAAAATTAAATCGTGCCAATGAATTTTTAATATTTTTCAACTGATACTGTAACATGATATCATGAGCCTTGTATTAATTTTTCAAGCGTTTTGACAAAACAAATAACATTTTATTGACATTTATAGAAAAAAAACTAAAAAAATTTAAAATTTAAAATGTCCGTAAACAGTTAAAAACGAGTTAAATATTTTGAAAATGTCATCAAGTATATGAATTGATAAACCAAATATATAGTGTAGATTTCAAGTATCTAGGTTCAATTATTCGTTTTTGAATTACAACAAAATAAGAAAATCGCTCCACGAAAAATCAAACAAATATCCAATGTTTTAAGAATTTCAAGTACTCATTAAAAAGTAATATGACTGTCCGGAAGAAATTTTTTTTTGATAAAGGTAGACAAACTATTATAAGGAATCTTGTTTTAAATTTTAAAATACTAGATATAAAATAAAAATTTTTTATGAATTTCCAACTTAAACCTGCAAATTTTCGTGATATTCAAGTATTTTGTAGAAATTCTAAATTCAAACGCTCATGAAATTATTGTGGACTAAACCTCATTTTTTTTTTAATTTCCATTAATAACAACTTACGAGAAGCCTTGTATATCATTTTTAAGTTTTTTGAGCGAGTGTAAATTTTTTATCGAAAAAACTTATAATAATCGACACTTTCATATGTCTATTAATAGTTTGACCCTAGACAAAATATTTTAAAAATTATATGGTGTATAGAAAATGCGGATAAAAACATTCAGTGAAAATTTCATGTATCTACAGCATTTTTTTTTGTTACATAAAAAAACCACAATCTATTTGGTCAAAAACCGGTTTTCCGTAAAAATTCATATTTTTCCTTAAATGCTTGTTTATTTTTCCTGCTGCCTTTGAAAAATATTGGGAATCGTTTACTTTTGAAGCCCAGGTATAAACCGATTGACTTTCCTACCAGAAAACATGCTGTTGAAGAAAATCTAAGCACTTTTAGTACCTAAAAAGGCGATGACAGACATAAAAAAACACATAGGTATCATCATGGGCACCCATTGAGGGGGGGCAAGACAGGGCACTTGCCCCCCCCCCCTGGACAAAAATATTATGAACTTGTAGCTCAATAAATATTACCACAATATTACCTTATTACCGACGTTTTTTATTTTGACCCCCCCCCCTAAAATGTTACCTATGGGTGCCCATGGGTATCATTGTAAAATCAAAACATTTATCGCTCCACTCGGAATCGAAAAAACACTACTGTACTACATAGTACATACTCCTTCCACCCTACTCCGCGGATAATCGAGAGTACACTGTATTGTCTGTAATATTCTGTATACATAATAGTATATTATCTTAAATCGTGATTAAACCTATGGATGGTTCTGTGGGTGGATGGTGGATCCGATATCTACTATGGAAAATACACGGTTGAATATATAAATGTCTATGGATTATACGAATAATGAATCGTTGTTCGAAACTTTACAGCTGTTTGCTACAAGATCATTGGAACAAATGTTAGGTAGAACTACAAAATATTGTCCTGTCATTGATAATAATTGATAATAATATAAAGATAATAAAATAAATTTGAATAATTTTAAGGTTATGTAACAAACTAAAAGTACATCCACATTTAAAAATAATAACATAATAAATATTGGTGTGTAGTAAGTAAAACAACTGCATACAGCAAAACTTTAAGTTAGACTATTTTTTTTCATCATAATGGTTAAAGTAAGTTAAATAATTATAAATAATTTATTTATTAGTATTTAATAGTTAAATGTTAAATGTTTGGTTTTATTTACTCTCAAATTTATCTTACTTCGTATACCTGTTGTATTTATAAGTAATTTTGTTGGCTTGAATTCAGTTCTAATTTTATGTTTTTTATTTAGAAAAATGTGGTAAAAAGTGGAAAAACTAGCAATGTGAAGAGGCGTAACCATTTACGAAATAAAGGACACATAAAAACAAAAAAACATAAGTCAAAAGCATATAACGTGCCTCAACCCCCTTTAAAAAGACGAGATGATCCAGCTGAAGAAATCGAGGAGGAAGAAGCAGAAAACAGTGATAATGGAGATGATATGCTAGAAATGGTTGACCAAGAAGATTTAGATTTTCTTAAAAAAAATATTGGCAACCAAAATTATAAGCTGTACAACCGTATTCAAATTAATAATGTAAATTGTAAATAATGCACTAATTTTCATTGTTTAATCTATTGATGGTGTTTGCTTTTAGGATGGTAAAAATAAGAGAACTCGGGAAAATGATGATGAAGAACTTGAAAATGAGTATGAAAGTAGTTCAATGATGATGAAAGCAGATGATCTATCTATTAAGAAACCTTTATTACCTATTAAAACTAAAGATGGCATTTTAAGACGATACACTTTAGAAAAAGATGAAATAGGTAAGATCTGTAATTTTAAATATTTATTTTTTCCTAAAATATCTACTTAATAGGTAGTTTTTTAAAATTAATAGAACAAAAAAAAACAGGAAGTGTCATAACTGTTTCTTCTTCTAACATATATTTCAATGTCACTGTAAATTAGCTCATATACTTATTGAACCTCAGGATACCTACATATAGTATATCTCTTTAAAATTTTTTTTTAAAAATGTAGGTATTGTAAAATTGTACCGACTGAAGTACTTAGGATTAGCATAATAACGTTCATTTTAAAAATCTTTACATATTTTGTTTCCTTTAAATCATCCAGACTAAATGTTTAACTTGAAAAATGTATTATTTATTCATGTAATTGCTTGTGATCTAACTTTTTTCCGACCTTTCTCTTTATTATACATTATTAAACTTTATGAATTTATTTATACATTATAGACTCAGAGAAGTCACAGCCCAAAAAGAAAATAATCGAGGACAATAAAGAAAATAATGATGATGAGTATGTTTGGTTAGATACAAACGAACCCGAAAAAGAAATATCAGTTAATAAAGGTGAACCAATTAGTGTTGCAAAACTATATGCTAAAAGAGAAAACACCATTCAAAGTTATAAACAGCGTATTGGACTATTAGCTAGCACTTTATTAGAGAATCCAGATCTAAAGGTAATTTTCATTTACATGGGCATAATAATATTATAAAGTATATTTTATTTGTACTTTGCAGTCTGTTATAAACTGTAAATAATATGATATCTTGATTTTCGTTTTGCTTTTGAATCATGTATTCATCAGTGTTGAAATTGTTTAGTTTTAGTAATCAAAATTTCATCAAAACATTCAAAACACCTACTTTCTTGTTATTATTTGTTATTTTTTTACTATCTATTCATTTTTTAAAAATCTTAGTTGTACAATATAGATTTTATATGGCTATCATTCTAAGAAAACTAATGAAGCAATTTTACTTTATAAACTTTTAGATTGGAAACATTGCACATCTCTTAGAAATAATGGAAAAACGTGATCCAGAATTACAAATCACAATAAAAAAATTAGCAACTCTTACATTATTAGAAGTTTTTAAAGACCTCTTACCAAGTTATCAATTAAAACTGGATAAACATGATGGAGTAAAATGTAAGTTTCTTGAGTTACTTCATAATAATAGTCTAATAATACAGAGTCCCGTGATGGTGTACCCATTAGCTGTAGAAGGGGACTTGCCTCTCAGACAAAATCTGTTTTTTTTGCCGTTTTACCTGTAAACCAAAAAAATGACTAAAAATCATAAAATTAATAAAAATCAAATTTGAAGAGATTAAAATGTTTGTAAAATTAAGTTCTTAATGGATATCTTCAATTGTTTCAAAAATAAAAAAAACAGATTTATGATAATATATTTATTATCACAGGAGATATTGCAAATTGCAATGGGTATGCCTTGAAGGGAACCTGTATATTTTTTCATTGTAATATTTAAAATCTTTGATGTTTTTTTTTTGTTATTGTATGTATAATGTTTAAATATCATATTATATTTTAACTATATTTTTTTAATAATATGGTAATTGAAGATTTGACAATTGAATATGTCTTCATAATCAAATATTTATTTGATTGGGTAAATACTTTTAACCAAACACATAAATAAATAAATATATGTTTTCTTTTTAGTGAAATTGGTTACAAAAGAGTTGATTGGCTATGAAGGACAATTACTCAAGGGTTACAAAATTTATTTAACTAATTTAGAGAAAATGGCTAGTGCCCTCCACAAAAAGAAAGGAGATACCCGAATCATAACAAATGTAAGTTTTTTTAATGATCATAAATTAAAGTTAGGAATTAAACTCACTAGCGTTTATAATTTGAATTTTTTAAAGAGAGTTCGATAGGTGTATGTTTTTTTTTAATGATTTAAGATTATACATTATAGTTTCCATTTCAATATTTATTATTAAGTTATTGGGATTCATTGAAAATTTTTGGTTCAACTATTGGTTATATAAATGCTATGCTTGTAAATTAATATGGAATGGTTCTTAACTACAGTAAGAATATTTTTATCTTGTGTATCAACTGAGTTACTGGGTTTAAATTTATTATTCTTTCTCTTTTGGAAGTAGTTGTTGCATTGATATTTTAGTGTTTAATATTAAATTTAATTTGTAAGGTCCATAAATCAATACAATTTAGAACAGTCTGCTTACCATATCATTGGATAGTGCTTAAATTTGATTGTGTCAAGTAACTACTTTATGTACTTATTACCTTTCTATGATCTCTATTGTTACCATAAGTTTTTATTTTTTTATTTATATTATGATTGTTGAATTTTGTTATTGTGGTTTGTAAGTTACTATACTCTGTTCAATGAACTCCTCAGCCTATTCAAACTTTGTTCGCATATCTTCACCACAAAATAGGCACCATTACATGTGCTTTGGTGTCGGCCGCCACAAAACTGCACGGTGGGGACACAGGCACCGTCGATTGACAACGGTTGCTGATGACTGTTAGCACATTACAGAATGCTAAACAATCACCTGGGGATCAGGCAGTGATTGGCGGCCCAGTATTCGTGCTCGAAAACGGTTCATTCTTAAGAAGACGCCCCACTCACTTGTGTTTGTCTCCATCTAACAAATGTAAAACAGCAAAAACTGTTTCGCACAGGAAAGAACCTAAAAAACTATAGTAATAACTAAGAAACCAAATTTTCATCACAAAGAGAGGAGAATTTCAATTTTTTTTTTTTATTATTCGATAACACCAATACATCAGAAGTTGTTTAAATTTGGAAAACTTAAAAATATCAGGTTTTTAAAAGTATAACTTTTTTCTTATTCATGATATCAAACAAATAATAACTATATGACACATAAAATATTATTTTCCATATTAGGTACGCTTTTATTGTCTACTAGGACTACAAACTGAGTGTTTCTATCCCGCACAAAATAGTTTTTGCTGTGTTGTACATTTGTAAGACAGAAACAACTCATGTGTGGTGTCCTTTTATCGTGAACAGAGTATAACTTTTTTATATTTGCGAGTGTTTATTCATTTGCTTTCAACTATAAATTATAATACTAAACATTTTGAAAATTGGAATGAATAATTGATATAATAAATGATATAATTGCCAATTTTATATTTTTGGTGGTTGTCTGCAAAGACTATACAAATAAAAAACAAAAAAAAATTATATCAACAGTAAATATTAAATCATCAATTTTTTTTTTTTTTTAAGGTTCATATAAATTTAGCTGAAATGGCTATTAATTGTATGTGTGAATTATTAATTTCTCATTCATATTTTAACTATGCAGTCAATATTGGGCATTTGTTAACTCTTTACTTAGATAACAAAAATAGTAATGTTAGAAAAAAAGTTGAAGAAACATTTATTAAAATTTTTAAAGAAGATAAAAAGGGAACTATGTCATTAGTGGTAAGAATTAAAAAACTTGTTTATTTGTTGTAAGAAAAATGTTTTAATTTAGATATTGTTAACAATTGAATATCATATTTATATTTATAATTAGATTGTGCGTCGTATAAATCAACTTGTTAAGACTAGAAGTCATTGTGTGCATAGTGAGCTATTGTCTGTTTTACTTGCATTGCCTATCAGAAATGTCAATCTCGATAAAGAAAAAGAAGAAATTTTGAAATCAAAAAAATTTATGACCAGAAAACAAAAATTACTAGCTATGTCAAAAAAAGAACGTAAAGTAAGAACTCACTATTATTTATGCCCTGTAGTAATATTATCATTAAATAAATAATTACTTTTATTTTTAGCGAAGTAAAATGTTGGATAAATTAGATAAAGAAATGCTTGAGACAAAAGCTGAAGAAAATGTTAAAAGTCACATGAACAATTTAACTGAAATCACTAAACTTGTATTTTTGATATACTTCAGAATACTAAAAACTGCTCCACGTTCTAAATTATTATCCGTCTGTCTTGAAGGATTAGCAAAGTTAGTATTATAAATGCATTATTAATTTTTCTGTGAAATTGAATTTATCGTTTTATGTAGATACAGCCATTCAATCAACTTAGAATTTTACCATGATATTCTCACAGTTTTGGATTCAGTTATAAAAAAACATCAACTAAATGTTCATGAGCAACTTTGTTGTATTAAGACTATTTTTGTCATATTATCTGGACAAGGAACTGTAATCAACATTGATCCCGTTCACTTTTATTCTCATTTGTATAGAGTTATTCCTGAATTAGATTGTTGTAAGTTTATAAACCTTTTTATTTTAATAGAATCAATTTGATTTACAATCTGATGTTAAATGATATATTATTTAATTAATAATTTAATTTTCTTAATATTTTCTATCTATAAAATAATGTATACTTATTACAAACTTTTATGAGAATATTGTTTGCAAATAATATATCTACCAGTTTTAATTTTAAAATATTTCCAATAATTAGGTAAATATCATGATAATTTAGAAACTTTCCTTCGTACAATTGAAGCATTGTTTTTGGTGGGTCGCAAGAAAGTAACTGCCAATTCTACACTGTCGTTTGTGAAAAGAATGTCTATGTTAAGTCTTCAAACCCTTCACAATGCATCACTTGGTATTTTAGCTGCTCTTCGGACTATAATACAAGTAATCATATTAACCAGTTATCATTTGTATATATTTTGTATCTAATAATATGTATGATCATTTTTTAAAAGCATTATTATTAATTTTTTTTAAATTCATGTACTATTTTCTTTTTTTTAGACAAATAAGAACACAGAATGTTTATTAGATGTTGACCCATCATATGGACAAGGAATTTATAATGCTGAATTACAAGAACCTGAACATAGTAACGCTGGAAGTACATCATTATGGGAACTTCCAGCATTGCAGGTTAGTAATTACCAATTTGTTTGATGCAATAGTATTCATGATACCAATTTAATATTTTTATTTTTAGAGGCATTATCACCCAGAAGTTTGTAGATTATCAAAAACTGTGGCTTCATTGACAGTTTCTCAAAATAACAACCATTTAAAACCAGAATTAGCCAAAATGTAAGTGCTTTGCTCATCCAGTATTTCATGATATTTATCTGAAAATCAAAGTAATTAAGAAGTATAAAAAAAAATGTGAAAATAATAGTACATTCCTTTTGTAAATTACTCTAAATTGGCAATTCACATTCATTTATTTTTAGATCTGACAAATATAGAGTTAGAAGTTAATTGAATTTCATTAAGATTCATGTTTCTATAAATCAAGTATAACACATTGTTGATCTTAGAATACAGATAAGCCAAGATTTTTATAAACTTACCCTTCTTAGTTTTTTAGATGGATTTATATTTTTTGATCAGCTTATATTCACCTATACATGTCTTATTTTAAGTAAACTTCTAACATTAACTATAAATAATCTTTAGTAGATTTACCTGTGGATATAAAATTGTTATCTTAAAAATAAAATGTTTTCACTTAAGAGAACATTCAATGTAATCTTAGAAATAACATGTTTATTTAAAAAAAAATTTTGTTATAAAAAGTTAATCCTCCATTGTTTGATATACCTAATTAAAACTTTTTAATTTTAGGACTCCCAGTGAGTGGTTCAAAGAGTATGATCCAAGTAATGTGGCATTCAATCCAGCAGTTATGCCTCCGGTGAAGGTACCTCAGCGGATACCTGCACATTATCCAACTCTTCCATACTCTGATGTTTTGGATAAAAATTACCCCAATATTAATTTCTCGAAAGATTTTTTTTGAATTTGTATTTTTTTTTAATAATTATATATTAAACTAGAATTGTTTTACAAAAGAAAATAATAAAGTCTATTTTTTTCAGTGTTAATTAAATTAACATTTTGGTAACCCCTTGTATTGATTATTCTGTAGTTGGTTGTTGTGTGATACTGATAAGAAGATATGGGATTTAAATTCTTTCTGTAGTGGCTAATCAGTAATCAGTAATTGTTTGAGTTTCAATATTAGTTATTAGTTTTTAATTCTTTTAAATTACCCACAATAAGACTTCAAAGTACAAATGTGCCAAACTTAAATTTTTTTTATAGTGTCTGTGATAAATTGTTACAATGCACAAAACGGAAGTTGATATTCCACCTAGCGTTCGAAAACGTTTAATTCATCTCTTCGGACTTATCGAAAAAGAATTTGAATCTGTTTGCCAGGAAAACGTTGTTCTGCAGGAAAAAGTGGAGTCACTCACTGAGAAAGTTAATGAAAAGTACTTGACGACTGAACAATTTCAAGTAAATTCGAAACAAAAACCGCCAACTGGTCAAAAACTCAAAACTGCAGAGAAATTAAAAGCACAAACTAGTAAAATTGTATCCAGCTTTAAAAGTCCTTCAGCAGCTAATTGTCAGTTTGTGAAAGAATATGGTGGACACAGGGACGGTTTGTGGGATTTAGCGTTACCTCATACTGGACAGCCTGTCATTGGGACCTGTTCAGCAGGTTTGTATTAGGAACCAAGTATATTTTGTCCTGTAGGTTCCTAATCCTTTTTACCTTACATTTAGATCACACCGCAAGAATATGGTGTATTGAAACTGGTACACCACTTTTACAATACACTGGTCATATGGGATCAATTAATTCTATAAAATTCCATCCCAATAAAGATTTAGCTCTCACATCAAGCGGTGATCAGACTATTCACATTTGGCAGGCAGCTGTTAATCTAGATAATTTAGTGAGTGTGTTATTCTTTTTTATTAATTATATTTATATTTTCTATAATTTTGATATTTTATTTATGATACATCATTTAATCTGGCTATCATTTTTAAAATTCTTATTTTAATTTTATAGAGGGATCGGGAATCTGATGACACTGAGACTGAAGATGACCGAGTTGTTCCAATACTGCGCACACCTTCATGTACATTTTTGGGACATAATGGGCCAGTTATGGCTAGTGATTGGTTACTGGGTGGTGATCAAATTATTACTGCATCATGGGATAGGACTGCTAATTTGTATGACGTTGAAACCAGTGAACTGTTAAACTCACTTACTGGTAAGTTATGTATTAATACTTATTAATAGCTATAATAATGAAATTGTCATCACTATTATAGTTAAATAATTAATGTATTAATTATAACTAATACAAGGTAAAATGCTTAACATTTTTCTAAATAAAGACAAATTTTTCATAATTAATAGTTGGTAAATATTTAAGTTACATTTTTTGTAATATTTCCTACAATTTATATCCCAGAAATGGATTGTTTTAGTATCCTCTTAAAAAACCTATGCCAGATGCTTAAATTGCACTTGGCTTTAAATTTAAAGGCCTATAATACATTAGACACTGTATGTCTAAGTAAACACTTAATATTTAATATTAATAATACTGTTATAAAAGCTGTGCATGGGTAGCATATAAGTTTATAGAACTAATAAAAATGTTTTTTTTTAGAATAGGTCTAAAACTGCTAATACTTCATGAGTCCTATGTTAAAAAATTATAAATATAGTCCTAAATTAAATGAAATTAAAATTTTCAGGGCATGATGAAGAATTAACTTATGCATCTTCACATCACTCCCAGAAATTGGTTGTCACTGCTTCTAGAGATACTACATTTAGATTGTGGGATTTTCGTGAAGCTATAAACTCAGTTTCAGTTTTTCAAGGTCATACAGAGTGAGTTTTTCACTTTGTTTAGTAAATATACTGAGGTAATAATTAATATTGAAACAATGTTACAGTACAGTGACTTGTGCGGTTTTCACATCTGCTGGACTTGGTGGAGAAGATAAATTAGTATCTGGGTCAGATGATCGGTCCATAAAAGTTTGGGAATTACGTAATATGCGCTCTCCAATTACTACTATCAGGGCCGAATCTGGTGTAAATCGCTTTGCAATTGCTTCTAATGGTGTTATCGCTATTCCTCATGACAATCGACAAGTTATGTTGTACGACATGGCTGGACAACGAGTTAACAGAATACCCAGAACAGCTAGAAATGTATAAATTGTTTTTATTAATTCACTATCTAATGAAATCAATATCATATCCAAAATATTCCATTTTAAAATTCATTGGTTATAATATAATGTATAATATGTAACAATACAATATATTTGAAAAAAATGACCATTTTATTGATGTGAATTTTTTTTTTTTTAGAGACATAGACGTATGGTAACAGCTGTTGCATGGAGTGAAGATAATCCATTTGCTAATTTATTTTCTTGCGGATTTGATCGATTAGCATTAGGATGGTCTGTTCAGTTGTGCAAGGACTAATCCTTATTAATTTTTCGAGTTCAAATATGTTAAGTATTTTAATGGCATGTCATATTTTTATAAACAACATTTTTACTTCTTTTTCTGTTTCCTATTTTGAATTTATGTATATGTGTGTGTGCGTGTGTGCAATTTCTAACTTTTATCTGTGAAACTCAGAATCTATTAAGTTACATTTTTAAATATATATAGTATTAACATTGTTACAATTTGGTTTTTTGCGTCCTTTTGTTAATTTTTTTTTGTTATAGCCTTATAGTATAAATTAATATTTATTGCATTATTTAATAAAAAAAAAGTCATATTATGTTTTAAATTTTAATTAAAATATTTATTTAATTTAAGCCTTTCAAATATCATTATATTATTATATTCATAAGGAGTGTAATCTAAGAAATGTGATGTGACTCAGCATGAACAAAAGAAAAATAGTCTGATAGAAGTAACAAATTACATTTAAATACTTACATTATATTTAACATTTAAACTTCAATAATTAATAATATATTAGTAAGAAATAATACTGTTATTATAGAAAATTAATTTTTAAGAGCAACTGCTGAATGCTGATCCAATTATATGATAATATCAAATTTTATAATTTGTTGTATTATGACAATTTCATGAGATATTTAATATGTACATAAGAAATTATTTGTTCCTTTGTTCCAAATTTGTAGTATTAGTATTCTTCTATGCCAATTTTACCATCACAAAATATATAACAACTCTTTAAAACTGGAATATAATTATTTAAGTTACAGATAATATGTCAAATGCAGATGTGGTTCAATTATAAAGTTTTTCAGTGTACATATGAAAACAAAATCAGTATGACTAAAGAATTATAATTAAGTTTGTTAATCAATCAATTAAACATTTTATGATTAGGTGATTGATTTCCATTTCCCAATGAAAGTCAATGAAAATTAAACATATGATTGAAAAATGTGTTAATTTCAATCACTTACCTGTAAACGGGTTAAAGTTTTCCAAATACATTTTAACCACAGTACCTCAAAGTCTCTGAATATTGTATTTTTTTTTCAATCCAGATCATTCATTCACATATTTTAAACTACCTTGGTAACTTGTAGTTTTCATACATCAAATTTTTTTCTTTTGGTTCCTTGAGACTTCAAGATACTGAGTCCACTGTATTTTATATATTTTAATAATCATTTGTTGTACAAAATATTTAAAATATAATTTATTCAACTTTTCTTCTCACTAGTGGACTAGTGATCAGCGAGAATCACAACTATCTCACCATGAAGTGCTATTACTGAATAGCTTCTTCAACCAAGCTATTAAATTACCTATTATGTGACCATCCGTTGTGCTTATTGTAAATTTCTGTTATAGATGGTACAAATTAATAAATATGTTAAAAAAAAAAACTTCTCTTCACAAATAATATTATGTATAATTGAGGATTGAACAGATACCAGGATACCTTCCAATAACGAAGATTTACCTTAATTCCTTCTAACAAGTGGTTAGGTGAAAATCAAAGAAACAATATGAACCAACGTTTAAATGATTAAATATTTATTTTTGAAGATATTAGGTAGTTAACAAAAGCGCTAAACAATTTTGTAACAACAAAATAACTTCATTGTCGAAAATGACATTTTATTGAGAATATAAAAAATAATAATAATAATTAATAAGTAAACAAGTACAATATTCATAAGCTATTCATAGTAGTTTAAATGTATTTTTTGTATATAAATGAAATTTTAAACCATACAAATAAATTGAGTTATAACATAAGCTTTCGTTAATTTACAAAATAAATGCATATTTATTTGATCAAAATACACAAAACAAATGTTTAGAAAACCAATTTTAAATTAAATAAAAAAATAATAATAAATAAAAAAATGTATATGCTTTAATAAAAAGTAAAAAATAAAATAATAAATAACATACCACTAAAAGCAATTATAGCTGTTAAAAAATAATATGATTTTTATACCGTCCACTAATTTCTTTCTTTAAAATATTTATTAGGTAATATCAAGTAAACAAAATTGTGTTAACTAAATGTTATTGTATCAAAAACAAATAAATTAAAAATATATATATTGTGCTAGAATCTGTCATTGGTTAAGTTTGTGCTAAATATAATTGTCAAACTATGACAATACTAACATAAATATTTTCAAAAACTCAATACATTATAATATAGAATAATAACTGTATAAAAATAAATATTATATTGTAAAACTCAAAATTTGGGAATAATCTATAAAAAAATTTTTAAATGGCCATCCTTTTAATAGGTGACTATAAAAAATGTTAAAATTTACCATAATAGTTCTAACTGCGAATATTATTAAATTTGATCAGACATTTTCTAACAATATATATTCTACGCCTTTACTAAATAGTAAATAGGATAAAAAGTGCGTTTTTTAAGCAATGCAAATAATTTATATTTGATTTTATATGCTACTTCAGTGCACCATTTAGCTGTTTAAAAAATTATTGAAAATGTAATTTATACAATTCAAGAAAAATTACTTAATTTACTTAATACCTAATGCTCGTAAATACCACATTTCAAAAGTAAAATAATATTGAAACAGTTATAATAGATAATATCAAATTACAACTGAAGATTATTTTTTAATATAATATTTATTATCTGAGATATTTTGAAATGTATAAAATAAACTAGAGTAATTCTTAAGAAGCACGGTGATTACAACTACTGAACTACATTTTTTTAAGCTTTTTTTGATATGTATTAATATCATATTTATAAAGAAATATATTTTTTAGTTCACATAAAAAAGGCAATAAATGTACAAAAAAAAAGTACTGATGAAATACAATGGGTAATACTGAAATTTTATTTTTAAGATAACCAATGATATATTCAGTATTTACACATTAGTGTTAATGATTTTGACACACTGTGCCTTATGGTTAATCCCGATGAAAAAAAAATCACTTTTTTTTCCAAACTAGTACAATGGATATAAAAATACTAAAGATGTGATTAGATTAAGGAACACCTAAGGTCAGTGAATCGTATTAATAATACATTTTTTTGGATCAATTTAATCTTAATCTACAAACATTGAATTCCTACACAAGATAATATGATTATTGATTGTAAGATATATATTTCATTTCGAGTCATTTCAATAATTAATATTTGGTGTTCAATTTTGGTAACCATTGAAGGTTAGCACAGTCCTAGGGAGTAATGTTTAAAGTATATTATAGGTCAGAGGATCTGTAAAAAAAAATATATATATAAATATAAATATCTTAACAAAAAGAAAAACAATATTTATAGATGAGAATTGAATTTGACAATTAAGTAACCTTATACCCTTTCTATATAAAAAAAAAGGTTTTATTGAAATATATGCTTGGCTAAAACCCGGAAGACTGAAACGCGAGAATAGAACTTAATTAAAAATAAAACCATGGCAATTTATGTTATTAATTTTTATGTATGATTTCTATTGATTTAGAGTAGACGACATCGCCCCTTCTTTTTCTTTTTAACCTGTAAAGCTGCTCTAGTTGAAGTTTCAAATACTTCACGGACGCCCTCCTTACTTTTAGCTGAACATTCCAAATAAGCGAATGCATTGATCTTTTCGGCCATTGCTCGCCCCTCTTCTGGCCTTACAGGCTCTTGTTTCATTTTGCTCAGCTCGCGGATTGTATTTGGATCATTACGCAAGTCTTTTTTGTTACCAACCAATATAATCGGTACATTTGGACAGAAATGCTTCACCTCCGGCGTCCATTTCTCTGGGATATTCTCTAACGAATCTGGTGAATCTATGGAGAAACACATGAGGATAACATCCGTGTCAGGATAGGACAATGGTCTTAGTCTATCATAATCTTCTTGACCCGCTGTATCCCACAGTGCTAGTTCTACTTGTTTGCCGTCGACTTCTATATCAGCTACATAGTTCTCAAACACGGTGGGTACATAAACTTCTGGGAATTGATCTTTGGAAAACACAATGAGCAGACAAGTTTTTCCACAGGCACCGTCACCAACGATGACGAGTTTTTTTCGAATGGCAGCCATAGTCTAAAACTGAAAACAGTACCACATTATACCATCAAAGGGTTATTCTGCATATTAAAGTGAGCAACTGAAATTAGTAAAAAATAAAAATAAAATACGATTGAACTGGGCTAAACAAACGCGCGCACACACCACACATACACACATCACATCCAGACATAGCCATTCACACGATACAAAACAGAACAGGTTACAAATTAGTAAGTAAAACTATAACATAAGCAGTAAGCATAACTATATTGCAACATAACATATTAAAATAATTGAAGATAATTTATTAACTCAGCTTACAAAAGGAGTATTTAAATTCGATGTCCAACAGGTGTATTTTATTTTAATTAACGAGAAACTTAAAATAATTGAATTGCTTGATTGAATATTGAAGTGAAAATAAAAAAATAAACAAAATTTATCAGATATCAATGTTTACCTAATTTTTTTTGTGTAGAGTAAGCAAACATAACCTCAAATTTAATTACATAAGTTATGTTTTTTTTTTAAATATTTCCGCGGTCAACTATGATTATCGTGTTAATTATTTTTACATGATGGCTAATCAGTAATCGTATATTATCGCAATTGTTTTTCTACAAATGAAAATTCTCTTGCAAAATTTACCTGGACCTGTTAAATAGATTAATGCTGTAAAAAATTATAGTTCCTATTTCAATATAGGAGCCTTGGTATTGGTATAGTGTACTGATTACTGAATTGACGAATTGGAAGAACTATAGTTACAAGTCCTAATTTGTCAGAGTTGGTAGCAAAAAATTTGTTGATATCTCAACAATATGACAAAAAACGCTTTGCAATGATTGAATTATCGTGTAAATAGTATCAAATTTCAGTTATCATTTAGACATGTAGTATTGTCAATTTGTCAATTTATTTATTTCTTTAATACGTGCTGTTATATTATAAGAAAAATATACGTATATAATATGAGAATAAAAATTCGATAAATTTAATTTCATAGCATCATATAAAGGTTTACGCTTTTACAGTGTAATAAAGTCTTCAGTTTACACCATATTTCGCGGCAAGATTAAGTTGGATTTCTTAATCCGATGATCGTGACATTTCTGTCAAGGCGTAGGTAAGGTTAGGAAAGCAGACCCGAAGATAAATATGCCTAGGCGTAGAAAGGATTTTAAAATCACACATCTTTGGTCGCTGAAACGTTGACTACATTAATCTGTGTAATCAGTAATCACCTATATTTATATGGACGTATGGCTTATGTATCTACATTCTACATTGTATCACAATATAATCATTATTTCAAATAATTGTCTAACCAATATTGTAGGTATTTACAAATAAATTAACTTAGTTTTCTCCTTTATTCATTATTGTCGTGACTCGACATATTATAATAACTTTTAGTTGAAATTTCAGTGTAATAAAAAAATTGTCATTCAAAATTTAAAAAAAATATTGCAAATATCTAAATTTTTTCTATAATTTAATAATATTTTTTGATATATTACATCGTATTTTTCGCTTATAGTTATAAATATTTTATTAATTTTTTTATTAAAGAAATTGGGCTAGAGACCTTCTAAACTAAATCTAAAGTTAAAAATACAATAATTTAAAAAATTGCAATGCCCGAACTCAAATTTTCTGAGGTTCTGTCACTGGACAGTCTCCTTTTCATGTGCTACATTTCTTCTTTAATCATTATCATCATTGTTACTTATTATTTTCGTGTGTAAACAGATTGTAATATTTTATTAAATTTAAAAAAAAAAATTTTTTATTACATGTATTTTAAATTTCATTTATTTCCTTTTTTACAATTTTCCTTCCTTATTTTAAGGGTTAGTATTGTAATCGTGCATATAACATGTATGTCAAAATGCCGAAAATAGCTGCTTTGGGCAACTCGTCAACACCCCTATTGGCCCTATTATAAGGAAATTATCGGAGAGATTGAAGACAAGAGATACCTATTTAATACCTACTATAAGTTATACAAACTTATAAGTACCTGTGTACAGTATACGTATACTTAGGTAATAGGTATAGTATAGAATATCCAATGTTGTAAAAAGTTCAACTTCAAACACTCATAAAAATTTAATTTGACTTTCCGGTAAAATTTTTTTTTTTGATGAGGGTAGACAAACTTGTGAGAAATCTTGTATTAAATTTTTAAACCTTTGTTATAAATAGATATTTTTTTATGAATTTCTAACTAAATATAATTTGCTAATTTTCGTGATTTTTACGAATTTGGTCAAAATTCTAAGTTTAAACGCTCATACAAAGTTATTGTGGATTTACACTTAACTTTTTTTTTAATTTCCATCAACAACAACTTACGAGGGACCGTTTATTACATTTTCAAGTTTTTTGACTAAACTTTTGACAACTTAAAATTTAACTTAACCTTGCCACTAGTAGAGATGCAGGTATTAGGTATAGGATTTACATTAGTACCATCTTTATCTAATTTAACTAACTAAAAATTTAAGTATTTATGTTGAGCTTATTACTTGCAAAAGTACTACGTACATTGGGTTTTATTCGTGGAAATGCTTCAGTCGTTGATCAAGCAAATTTCCCTTTAACGTTATGTACATCATTAGTATGGTCTATTTTGGAATACGGATCTGTTATATTATGGCAACCCTATATTCAGAAAGACAACAAGATGATTGAAAGAGTTCTCAAACGCTTTCTTTTATTTGATGGTTGTATATTAAAAATTACTCGCCCCAGTTCCGTCTTTACCCTATGGGCACGTGAGAAACGGGTCCAAATGGGACCCGGAATAATAGAAATTACAACTTTAAATTGTAAACTGTAACGTATTAATATGACAGTCTATAAAAAAAATAATTTTTAATTCTACTAATTAAGTCATCACACAAAATAAGCTTTTGATGTTTTTATTCAACTTTTTTCGAACTATACTAAAAGAGCCTCTAATTAGCTCCAGGTGTCTATTGGTCACTGGAAAGCCTATTAGACGGCCCTGACTCTTATTTATCGGTGTCGGAATTTTTAAGCTTATTTAAACTTGAAATCAAAAGAAAAATGCTAGATATAGGTACTCATAAGATTCATAAATAATTTAGGTTTTGGTAAGATAAATTTTTGATGATAGCCGTCTACTTCATAGGGTTAAATTGAATATACCTACCAAGGATAGGGTTCAAGGGCGCCCGCAGGATTCAAGATCGCAAGATCAAATTGTCTCGGACCCAGGTCTTCTAGATTTTTGGTCCAAGTGAAGTGTAGAATAATCTTAGACTCTGACACACAATGTATTGTTTTTAATTTGATATTATATATCATATATATTATATGTAGGTACCTTCGTATATTAATGACTATTATAATATCTATTTGGTTGCCTTTCACTCTTGTATGTTACACTCTTGTAAGACGAAGACAATAAATGTCAGTGTAGCATCCTCTTGAGGTAGCAATATTGTTTGGAGTGTTTTTTCGATATTTTCGTTTTGAAGTGAGTTAGAAGTGTGCATATAAATGGTATGATACATAGTAGATCAATATGCATTATTATAAAATTAATACTAACAAAAGCTAAACATGACTACATGAGTCGTGAATAGGTTACGTTCAACGAACTGATTATCTTCAATTGTTACTGTAAGACGCCGTCGGCACGCCAGAGACAACAAATTCAGATGAAAAGTCCTCTTATGTGATTTTGTTATATTTATATTGAAAATGTAACTGAAATGTAGGAATCCTATGATTTTATATTTTTTATGATGTACATCTTCAAATCTAATGTACCTACTCATCTAATGGGTGACGCGTGGTCCGTGACCACAGCGATATAATTTATACTAGTAGACAGTACTTATATAGTATAGTTAATAGGTATGCTTGATCTAGGGGGGTACCTAGGTGACTAATCACCCGGTCCCAATTTGGAGAGGCCCTCATATTTTTTGATAATTTATAATTGTTTGAAAATTGTAATTATTTCAATGCAACATTAAATATTTTTTTTTGTAGAATCATAAAATTAAAAAAAAAGAATAGGTAATAGAAATAAATTGTCATAATATTATATACATAGACCTATTGACTATGGACCGCTCTTCTACCACCCTCGACAGTTATGTGATAACTGGATATTGACTGAGAGAACACATATTACATATTAATATTACAGAATACATGTTGTGTATAATCGAAATAATGCTTCGATCTTCCACTTGAAGGGTGGTTTTTGATAGAATATTTGATACAGTTTGTACTTTTGAGAGGTTAAAGTAGAAAATACTTAGTAGGTACTTTTTAAAATAATCTGGGAAAAAAAAATTACGGATAAAAGTAAATTTTTAGGTAAGCCAGTTTTTGACAAAATCGATTTTAGGCTGTTGGTGTAACTCAAAAAAGAATAATTCTAGATACTTGAAATTTTTACTAAATATTTGTATAAGCGTTTTTTGTACATAATAAAGTTTTAAAATATTTTGACTCTTTTTAGGCTATTTATAGTTATTTTAAATTTGTTGTTTTGTTTTCTATAAATGTCGATGAAAATTCTTTCGACAGGTCAGAAAGTTTGTAATTTAATACAAGGTTCCTGATAAACGGGTAATACAGTAATAGAAAAATATCGAAAATTCATAAACACAATATTTTTTTATGAGATTTTAAAGTTAGTATTTTGATAAATTCGTCAAAACCACTAAAAGGTACAAATTATTTTGAGTTAGAAATTTATAAACAATTCTTAAGATTTAAAAAAGTATACAAAATTCCTCAAAAGTTTTTATACCTTTGACAAAAAAAGTTAACTGGAACGTTATATTCATCTTTTATGAGCGTTCAAGTTCACGACATTGCCACATTGAATGTTCATAATTAACGATTTTCTTATTTTGTCGTAATTAAAAAACGAATAATCGTAGATACTTGAAACTTCCATAAAATATTTATTTTATAATTTTTTAAACATGAAAACAACATTTAAACAATATTTTAAATCTTTGACCCATTTGCCTATTTTGTATGACATTTTCAATCATATTCAGTATTATTTTATTTCATTTACACAATGCCATTTTCAAATGCAATATTTTCGGTAAAAATGAATTCAAACTATTATATTAATAATAGTATAAAATAATTACTTTAATAGCAATATAAATACATTACCTACCTATATTTCTGTTGCTCAGAATTGTTTTTCGTATGCAATGATTTGTCACTGAATTAAAATTTAACATATTATACATTACAACATCACTTACTCAATGACAAAGAACACCTACTGTACAGTAGAGGTATAGCGGTTCGGTACCTACATTTCCCTTTTTTTCTTTAATACATAGATATTTTTCTAATCAGCTGTATTAATGATCATAACCAATGTTCAATACTCAATAAAGTTAGATTGACCAACAATGATTATTTTACCGCCTATGTTTATACAATATCTTTATGCGTCTAATTATTTATTTAATCATTTATATGTTTCTTACATTAGTTACATTTCTGGTGATACATAATAATAACTTACCTTGAATTATAAACATAACACTATTTTCAATATACTATTAATATTTTACTAAAAATCAAATTACTTATAATTTTTTACCATTAAATTTAAATAAATAATAAAAAAACCTGTAAGGTTCAATCAACATTTTTATCGTATTTAATACAATACAATACAATACAATATATTATAGTGAAAACTGGAAAGTCTTCATTATAATATACTACCACCTAAGATGTGAATATTGTTATTTAAATCATCTATAAATTATAATACATACAATACTGTTAATCATTGGTCTTTTGATAAGACCCAAGTCTAAATCAATTTTTTTTTTTTAATATTTAATTTATAATATAATATTTACACAGTTAAATGTTCTCAGAATACACATCGGTGTAATAGATAACTTAATTATCTATTACAATAAAAATAATATTGCAATTTTTCACTATTTCTGTGAAATTAACTGATGGTTTTGTTTCAAACTGAAAGTCATTGTGATATTGAAAATAGTTATCCAAAACAACAGGTCCATTGAATAATGTTACTTACAATTTCTATTTTCTGTTGTAAGCCCTCAATTTACAGTATGTAAACAATTGAAACAGTTTTTTCCATACACATCAATACATCATTAACTAATATTATACAGCTATAAAAATAGGTTTTTACAACATTTTTACTAAAATCCAATCAAATATTATAGAATTTGAATGACTTACATTTTAATTTGTAAGTATAACTGTAATACTTACTATTTAATAATGTTTGTATATTAGATTACCAGAAGCAGTCATATACACATCTACACAGTGATTCACCAATCACCAAGCATGTACTCACCACCTTTTTCCTTAAATAATGAATTTATTCAAAGTCTGATTTTTAGAATTTTTAAATCCACTTAAAGACCATGTTAACAAATTCTTGAATTAACTACCTAAGGAGTATTCTGTAGCAGTATAAACTTTTTTTTAAATGCTACGTGCCTAATTCATAGTTCAAAAATTCCAATAAGATTTTAAATAACTGAATAATTACAGAAACAAAGTGGGTAGGCATGGCTTGGTAAATCACTCTGTACATTATACTTTAGGAGATGTATTCAAGTAGGTATCCAACATTATTTCCTATATTTTTAACTTAAATTGTTAAATATATTTTAGTTAGGCACATGATTTTCTTCATTTCTTAGTGTATATATCTTGTGCATATTAAATTATTCTAATGTTATAAACTTAAACACAAGTGTTACCAATTACAAAAGTCTGTGACAGTATACAAAGACTGCTAACTGTGAACCACTCTTGTTATGAGATGGTGTTGTCTAATCCTAAGCCAATAATAAACCATTGCATTCATATGACAATTTTAAGCTTATACCTGTGAGAATGAAACATCTGTATACAAAAATATACCGGAAGACTTAAACCTATTTAACTCGGATCTAAAATTACAATTGTATAATACTTCAATCCAAGTGTTCATAAAAAGAGAAATAAAATAATGAATGAAAAAATATCTATATAGAAGCATTTCTTTCCTTGCTTCAATAACAATCTATATATAATATACTGAAAAAGTATTTTAACCATTTTTTTTTTATGTCAAGAAAAATTATTTTTATATATTATTTTAATTACGTGTTCTTTATAACACAATAATTATATCTACATCTTAAGTCTATGTTTAGATAAAATTAATAACTTTTTTGTAAAGGTAAACAAAAGAATTTATAACAAAATAATCAAAACCACTCTTTACTCTGTTAATATCCTGTTAAGTAAAAAAATGAATGAATACAAAAGTCACTTACATGACAAAATAGAATGTTCATTAAGTAATCTTCTAAGGCATGTTTTAAATGATACTTAACAAAATCGAGGCATGAAAAATAAATTTAATAAAATCTAAACTTTTATTAGTAAATTTCTTAAAAAGTACAAGCATATAAATATTGGTTAATGAACAAACGTAATAATAGTATTTAAAAAAAACTAAGCTAAGGAATACATCATGGGATTCCTGGCACAGCAGGTCCATAAAAAAAAAATATATATGTGTGAATATATATATATATATATTTACGATACAGAAATATTGTATTATGTTGAAGGTAGCGAAAAATGAGTCGATAAAATGTTTCAATTATTTTGTAGTTTCAACTTTATTTTTACAGAACAGTTATTATAATATAAAAAATAAAGTTAAAATAAGTTACAAAATGCACTATGATTAGTGATTACCCGATAAAAATTCTCCCCAACAGTTTTGCTTTGTACATATTTTGGCAAACAATAGGAATACATGATTATAATTATAGTGTTTATTATAGAAAAATAAAATGATATATTTTGTCTTGCACCATGATTTGTACAATCAGGTTTATTTGTTTTAAATGCTGAAAATCCTTAAAACGACATGGTAATTTGAAAAATTGTATAAAAATATGATATATTTTATTTTCTAAGTAGATTTTTATATTCTTGAAAAGACATCACTTACAACAAGGCACATTTGCCCTTCTTCTTTTTCTTTACTTGAAGTGCAGCTCTTGTTGATGTTTCGAAAACTTCACGAACTCCTTCTTTGCTCTTAGCTGAACATTCCAAATAAGCGAATGCGTTGATCTTTTCGGCCATTGCTCGCCCCTCTTCTGGCCTTACAGGCTCTTGTTTCATCTTGTTCAACTCACGGATTGTATTTGGATCATTACGCAAGTCTTTTTTATTACCAACCAATATAATCGGCACATTTGGACAGAAATGTTTCACCTCCGGCGTCCATTTCTCTGGGATATTCTCTAACGAATCTGGTGAATCTATGGAGAAACACATGAGGATAACATCCGTGTCAGGATAGGACAATGGTCTTAGTCTATCATAATCTTCTTGACCCGCTGTATCCCACAGTGCTAGTTCTACTTGTTTGCCGTCGACTTCTATATCAGCTACATAGTTCTCAAACACGGTGGGTACATAAACTTCTGGGAATTGATCTTTGGAAAACACAATGAGCAGACAAGTTTTTCCGCAGGCACCGTCGCCGACGATGACAAGTTTCTTACGGATTGCTGCCATTATGTCGGAATGTTATGCTTATCAAAAAAAAAACTAGGCGTTGGCCCTGTTTCGAATTTTAACTACAAAATCAATTACAAATACACAGTTGTTCACGATTATTATATAAATACAAAACTTTTAAACGTAGTATAAATTATTAAATGTATGCAATTAACTGAATAATAAAACTAATAAAAAAAGTTTCGAGTAAATTACGGAGTGAAATGTGAATGAGCTCATCGCGATCGCCAATTATTGGATAATTTATCATTACTGATATTCGGGGAAACCATTGCTTAATCTGAACGACACTGCGCCTAATCGACGTTGTTCCTACTCGAACTCTAAACGTGGGCAGTCGTCGCGTCGTATAATGGCAGTAAACGAGTAAACGGTAGCAGCTGTTATACTGTAATAAAACAGAAACCCAATGTCATTTATAGCTATAAAAAAAAATAAATACTCTTTAGGGACTAGGCCAAAAATAATGTAAAAAACGTTCAATATTAAAATGCAGTAGATCCAAATATTAGTTTATACTTCATAGTTCATGTATAAATGTATAATAAGGCTTAATCTGTTGTACCCGTTGATGTTCATTTTTAACTACCTGGTTAGTGGTTATTATTTAATTGCAATTATTATGCTTATGCAAGTCGATTTAATTTATAAAAAAATTTCAAATTTACCTTCTAATGTTGACAGATTTTCCGACAATTTAATATAGTTTAATAGCAATATTAGGTACTATCATTTACCATTACCGAATTGGTAAAGAAGGTAATAAAATCATAGATTTTAATAACATAATTGGTAGGTACGTACTTAATAATAGGTAATACGTATAGATGGCTAGGGACCTATGGTCTATCTATAATTATTATGTTCAATGATAAATCGATAAATGTCATTGCTCATAGACACTATTAATAGCTATAACATATTTATGACTTTATGTAATAGGTACCTACAAAAATGTGGAATTGCGCAAAGATATTTTAAAAGTACCTACTTACCTAAATGTTATGAATCATGATCACAATAATATATTACAGCCTTCAAGGTCTAAGGCAGTTTACTGATGATGCTGCTTAGTGCTTAATAGTTATAATATTATTGTAGGTACATAGGTATTATACTTGTAAATAGGTAGTTGTATTATTGAAATTTGCATATTGACATTTACTTAAGCTATTCGTTTATGAATTAAAATTATGAGCCACTAACCTATCAATGGCGTAGGTATTACCTACATAACTTTTGTATGTAAAAAAAAGTCCCCCAACCTTTATGTACCGTACATAAAATAGGCATTTTAAGCTGACATGATAAAATAAGTAATAACAACAATTATAATACCTATGCCTATGGTTTTAAAGTATTAATCAATTATCAAATTATCAAATTATCAAACTTGTAATAACGCATTGTAATCACGGTCTTGAATATTATAAGACCGTGCATATTTTAGTATAATATTACGTTGACACATATCTATCACATTTTTTATATAATAACATTTAATGAAAAAAAGTATTTATGATGTCCAAAATAATTTTAGGAGAGACTCGAGCCCCCAAATTTAAATACCTAGTTAGGAGTAGGTGCCTATAGCGTAATAAAAACATATTCCCACCTCCTTATGAAAATAACAGATAAGTAGGCACTTCTTATATTTTAGGTGTTTTGTAGTATTTAGCTATAACATAAACTGGATGTCAAGGCACTCCAAGTTCCCACAACCGACACTCGACTTATTTCATTATTTCTAAAACACTTAACAGTGCTCAGCTACTCCACAGATAGTTAGGTACGCTCATAATAATATGTTTATATGTACAGTCAGGTATATTGTAATTAGCGGTAGGTAGCCAGGTAGGCACTATCATGGGGCGTAACGCGTTTCCACCAAAAGTGTAACTTACCCTTTTCCACCATTACCCGTTTCCACCAAAAGTGTACCTTCCCCTTTTCCACCAAATGAGATATTGACCACGTTTCCACAAAGACAAGTTCTATATACTACGCTCATAAGTTATATCAAAAGCTGTTAAAATGTAATAAATTAATATACAACATAATAAAAATGTACAAATTTAATAAAAAAAATAATACAATAATATGGTATAAAAGTTAGAGCGAGACAGCTAGTAATAATATAACTGTGTCCCGGTATTAACCAATTTTTTTAACCTATATTGTGTTTAATACAATCTAGGTAATACACTAAATTTATTAATTAAAACATAATATTGTTATAAATTACAAGTACGATTTTGTGCAATCGATATCATACAATTTAAAAAAAAAATATCCACTAATTATTATAAAGTAACATTTTATTATTATATAACACTATTAAATCATTTTTTTAAAATTAAATTTATACATTTGACAATTTTGACTATTATTATTATTATATAAGGTAACATATACATTTATATTATGTTGTATATTAATTTATTATTTTTTAACAGCTTTTAACATAACTTATAAGCGTCGTATAAAACTCGTCTTGGTGGAAACGAGGAATTGGTGGAAAAGGGAAAGGTACACTTTTGGTGGAAACGGGTACCGCCCCTATCACGATATTTGTATCTTTTAACTATTGCATTTTACTATCTTCGTGTGAACCCAATTATGGTGAAATATCGGCAATTATAGATCTATAATTCTAATTGTTTTTGTACTATCACAGACTATAAAATCTGTTTTATACAATATGTGGTACTATAATGTGCTATATTAATATAACCACTTAGGTCTTAGAAAATATAGTTGCATTATACCTATATCAAATGCGTATTATATTCCTACAATATTGTGTTGTATTAAGAAAAAATACATGATTTCTTATGTCTTGAAAAAAAAAGTCCACTTGTTTTCAACCATCGATCTAGCCAACGCGATACTGCGATAGGTATGTATAATGTACCTATTGTACCTAATATAGTATAATAGCTATATAGTGACCTGCTATCTAGGTATAAGTACCTTAACAATGTGATTAAAATAAAATAATATTTTTATTTAGCAGGCTCCGAGCTTAAATATTTATTTTGAAACGAAACTCAATGTAAATTGTAAAATTGATTAGTCGTGACAGAATATAATATAGACTATTACCCATTGCCACAAATAGGGGGGGCTTGGGGGACTTAGTCCTTCCAAATTTCGGTCAAGTCCCCCCAGTTAAAAATCTAGTAATTAGTACTATAATTTTGCTTACATTATAGCCAATGGGGAGGGGAGCTTGAGTCCCTCCAAAAAATTTAGTCAATTTGCATCTATGCTAATACCCATATAAAAAAGTAAAAACCAGGTAATGAGGACTGAGTAGTAAGCATCTGTCATACATAAAGTGAGTAGAATTTGATATAGGGAACCCACTGATTCCAGAATTCAGTAGTTTAATGTCTTTCTAAACACGGGTTCAGGTGGAGGAACATTTGACACGTGGCATAAGTTTTAAAAAAAAATAGTGTCTAACGCAATTCTGTAGAACTGACATATTATATAAAAGCAATATAATTTAAAGAAAAACTCTCTATTGAGATCGAAAAAAAATTTGGTTCTTTACTGCGAACATCTATATTTTATATATTATCGTCCGGAGTTCGAATTGTACGAGTATGTATTGAAATACTCTGAATAATAGTTACCCACCCAAGAATAAACAACCGGAGAAGCAGCCGTACAGAACTTGCAGATAGATTCTTAAGTGTTCACTCTGCCACATAATATACATAAAAATAACATGAACTTAGAGTCAAAAAATTTTAACCTGGTTACCTATACCAGGGATTGATCCAGAGGGGAGTCTAGGGACCAATATTAATATTCACCAATTTATTTCATAATTCTATAGATCCTGATAACTATATTCCAATCACTGCAGATATATGAATATGAATGATAGTATAATATATCAAACATGTCTGTAGACTGTGAATCCAATATTGTATAATGAAAAAAACTTTTAACTAAGAATAAAGTGTACATTGTTATTGTATTGTAAAATAAATCTTTGCTCTGGATCCGTACCTGCCCTATATTTATAACAATCATATTTGACAATTTTGAATTTAGGGACACAATGTTTCGTCTGTGGAAAGTTGTTCAAAAATTTTTTTTAATATCTCGTGCGAAAATATTATATTCCAACTTAACAATAATAATTGACCAAAACATAATTACTATAATAAACCACAAAATGTGAGTATGTGACAATATGATTCTATACTTATATATTTTTCACTCTACCTAAATACGCACACTACAATATTAGCCATTAGGATTAGGTTTCGTTAGTTAAGACACTATAGGTAATTTCTATACTTATATACGGTAGTATTATTTTGAGTAACAATGCTATAATCAAAAGATGATTTCTATAATTCATTTTCATATACCTAGTTCATTGATCACTTTTAAATTTTTTAACAAACAAATCGCAATCAAAGAATACTTCGGTAAATAATTAAAATAATGGATGCTCAAACTAAACTAAAATTTAAATTAAAAAAATATATATATACCTATTCGTTTTTAGACATTTAAAATTGAAAGCTTTCGAATAATCCATTATGTTAATTTATTTGTTAATAATGTTAAACATTAATGACGCATTAATATAAGTAAAAATTAATAAATACAAAAAAAGTTAAATAAAGTTGATAAATGAATATAATTCTGAAAAATTATTTAAACTAACTTATGATTGGAATTTTAAATATAATATATTTACATGAAATCATGTTATATGGTGTGGAAGGCAAAGTCACCACGGTTCTGAGTGAATAAAATTTTAATGTATGGGTGGTCTAACTAAATGTTTTTTGTGTGATGGAAAAAAAGTTCTCACCACCAGTGCGTTCCAACTACCAAGGAGCAGACCAGGGGTAAGAAAATATACATTTTACAAACGCTCATAAAAAAAAAAATCATGGTCATGAATTTTCGGTATTTTAAATTTTAGTACATTAGAACAATATATAAGGAAACTTATATTACAATTTTAAAACTGTGTTACTCAATAACAAAAGTTTTACCATGGGTATAAATCGAAAAATAAATTTTATAAACTCAAACATTTCAAATGTTTATATATAAATTTATATATTTATATAGCATAAAAAAGCTAAAGTATTTAAAAAAATAATATTATGTCTAGCAAATGCCAATTTCATTATTTGATGAGAATTCAATGAAACGAAAAACAAAATCGATTTTGTCGAAACGAGTTTCGAGTACAACTTCCTATTTTTTCTTCAATTAGATTTTCATTTTAAAATTATTTTGAAACGTACTATTGAGTTCTTTAAGAATCAACTAGATCTGATTTACTTCCAGAGGGTAGAGACCACCCTTAGAATTAAGATCAATGCTTTAAAAAATATCTTATGACACATAAAAAAAACTACTCATCATTGTAAAATCAAATGATACTTCGCCGAAGATCTACAATAATGAGCCAAAAGTATAAACGTTAAAAAATATAATATATTGCTTGAAAATAATCAGCATTTTTTAAACTACCACTCTTATGCTGGGTTCTATATTTATTTTTGGATTAAAAAGGTTATTTGTGTAGAAGTAAATAATTGGACTTTTTGTCAAGGTGCAGACTGCAGGATACTAGATACCTACTTGTTGGGACTTGGGGAGCTTATGATAAGTCATTATTAATAGAATCGGTGAGTGAGTATAACAGGATGCAGGGAAAAATTACACATATAGACTGAATAATATTTATTTTTACATTTTTATGTTCTGAGTCTAAATAAATTACATTCTCCATTTTTAAAAGTATATTAGCCATTAGGTATACCACAAGGTAAAAAAATAACTATTAAGTACCTATTCAATCAAGTTCTTTTTCAAATAGGTACATTATATTTTTGCTTTTTTGATTAAAGTAAGTGGTACCTACATTTTTACTACACATTAAATTAATAAACTTGAGATGCATTTAAAAAATGTCATATTTCTATTAAGGTACCTATTATTAAAAAATACGGGGTAAGTAATCAATATTATATTTTTATAGTACTTTTGATCATTTTGCCAAAATTAAATTTTTTTTTTTTACGAGGCTTTATAATTTGCTGAAGTAAAAGTAATCAATTATTATATAATATATTCTTTATGTAGCTATAACTTATAGTAGTATGTAAGTAAAATTAATAATTATTAATTATCTAAACTTAATAATTATGAATCATATATTAATAATTATAAAGAGGTAAAATTGTTTGTTTGTAGGGGTTAATCTCTAAGATTACTAAGACAATTCCCAAATTCCCTGAGTAATATTGGCTATATATATAAATATATAAATAAGTTTTGATTATATAAAAGCAAATGTATGTTTGTTTGTTTAGACTTTATGTATTCCTATTTTCTACACTATTCATCTGATTACCATGAAACCTTCGTGGTGGGCTTTAGGCACCCCAAGAAAGGTTACGAACTGTTACGAACTAAATCAGCCGAAAAAACATTCATGTCACAGGTGTAATGTGTGTGATAAGCTGTATAAAACCTTCTACATAATATATAAAAGTGAATTTATGTCCGGTCATGATGGAACTTCGGGAAGTGATTGGGTAGATAATCGAAATAACTGAATAACCGAGATACATCAATATATTATAACGCCGTATTTTGTATTAATTGATAATTTTTTCTCAGGCAAAGCCGCGGGTTATACAGCTATATAGAAAACCACCGCGGATGACACATTGCATCCAATCCCCGTAGGTTGGATAAAGTAAATACGACAAACTTGTTATAACTTTGAAACTATAGAGTTAGAAATTATACATTTACAAATGCACTTTGCGGGATTCGCAATCCACTACACGTGGATTGCCTACTTGATAATATAGGTACTGTTCGCATAATCATACAAGTGAATAAGTGATTTTCACGAGAAACGCCGAACAGGATCGCTAAAATATAATATAATCGAACTTGTCCTGACTGACTCACTGACTGATCAACGTAGAACCTATTGACAGTGATATCTTGAGGCTTGTCATTTTCAGGGTATAGGTTATAGGTACCTTCGTACAATCGTACCACTGTACCACCGTGTTAGTATATGCATCAAGAAAGCATTTTCCAAAATTCGCATTTAAAGTAGTGATTACACAAGTATTTTAAGATTCAAGATAGTCGATGAAAATTTTTAAATGTTGAACACCATTACACCGAATATTAAATTATGAATTGAACAAAGTTTGAATCATATAGAGTTAAAATTTTTAAAGGGAAACAAAGTGCACGGGGTTAGTAAAAAAAGAAACGTATAGTATAGGTATAAAATTGGTGTATTTTTTTTATTCAATACAATTTAAAAACACGATTATAGGTAGTGGTACTTCTTAAATATAAAATATGTAAAAGGTAAAACAATAAAATATTAAAAATATTAAATTATGAGGAATTAAAATGTATTTTATATTTAACATAAAAATACGTATTATATAAATATAGTAGAATTCATTAGATTAGTATTAGTTGGTATTCATGTTTTTAATAAGCCTTGGAAAACGAGAGGAGGCAAATTTGTTGTGCGGTTACATGGATTTAATAATAATTCTTCCCCAGTCTTGGTAATTGGCATGTTTCGATGATAGCTGACTAATTCACCTAAAAAAAGACGTTGCGTTAATATAAAATTATATAATACACAAATGTGCTGCACAAAACCGAATGTTTTGGTAATAGATACTTAGTATAATATTTTATAACTTATAATATTGTAATAAAATTGTATATTTTATAATAATAAGAATATACTACAAAATAAATTCAATTTAGTAATATTTGAATAATTGTATTAAGTTATAAAAATTTAAATATATTTATCATATCTATGTGATTATGTGTAGGTATTTTTTAATATATTATGATGCATACAATAGATTCTGACCTTAACGGTAATGTTAACTTTGACTGTTATTATTATTATTATTTGTATACAGTTATATTTCTAGGATATAATGAAACAACAATGCATAAAAAGTTTCAAGTAATACATTTAAAATTTAAATACGTAAATCGTGTTCGGATAATACTTTGAATAGATCACCGTTGTTTTCGATTTCCTCAATATTTTCTCTGTTAGCACAAGAAAAAACTATTGATAACTGTATATTAGAGAACATTTTAGAAAGCGCAGTTTTCACTGATATTTGCTTCAAATTGTTATTTATGTAGATTTCGGATCGATGACTAACGAGTAACGATCAATTTAACATTGCTTTTAAGTTCAATATTAGTATATTACAAGCCACAACACACTGCACGCCTACACACCACTATCCTGTGGCCTGTGCCGAGGTGATCGAAAAGAGACGAGTGTTCAACATTCAACACCGTGAAGAAAACATCCTGTCTGACTTTATAATTGAATATATTTAACATCTGTATTCACATGAAATCCAATTAAATGTAACATAGAATAAAAAAAAAGATAAAAAGAAGGAAAACAACATTGTAAATTTGTAAAATCAACAAATTATTTGTTTCGCCGATAACTTAAAAATGTAAATAAGTAATGAAATAAATATTATTTATTAGAATACATTTTCCTTTTAATATTCTGATTGGTTTTTATTCTTTTTCATTTCAATTTTCAGTACATGTCATTTTTTAATTTAAATTACTTTACCTTTTATTTTCTTAATAATAATTCATAGTCAAAACTAATTAACTGAAAGTTCATCTTTTCTTTTTTTAATTGAACGTTTAAAATATTTTATTTCAATTCTGTTATTCAAAAAAATTTGAAATAACTCACTCAATGTGTTGTGAGATATTTGATTAGTCCCTAAAAACTGGTAATGACCATTAGATGCATCTACCAAATAATGTTTGCAGCAATCATGATCTTTGTATGTGATGGCGTAGCCCCAAATTCGTTCGGATAGTCGAACTAAAAAGCTGCCCACTGGTTCGTTGATGAGTAAAATCTCTGCTTCTTGCCGTGTTATGAGACCTAATATTCATTAATATAAATTAAATATTAAATAATTGTCAAAACGTAAATCATATAGATATTCTAGTTTAGCATATTTATTGATATTTAAAACTCTAAGGTATACCGTGGAACCAAGTGGCTATGGCATTTTTATCTTTTTCAAATCCAGCTCTTCTGGGTATTTCTTTCGCTCTAAACCATTCAACAACAGCTTTTTTACTTGGTGGCTTAGATGAATTTGGCACAAACACTACACTAAAATAAAAAATATATTTTCACTTTGTAACGATGTTATAAATTATACGATTTTTAATTTAAATATGAATATACATTATATATGACACTTACTTAGGAGGTTTTTCTGTAGTATTTAGAAGTGACCTTCTATGTTCTTCTCTAGCTTGACGTGCAATTTGTCGAATTTGTAACTCAACTTCTTTAGCTTTTTGTTCTAAAAATATTAAAATTAAAATTATTATGAATGGTTATTAACTAGCAAGTAGCAAATATTAAAAAAAATATTCTATTATTCTATAAAATGATAAGTTTAATATTGAACTTAAGAAAGAAATCTTTCTTCTTATTCTAATGAAATTGATATTTTCATTGGTCGCGTTTTTGAAAAAAACGTGTTTATTATTCATACAGAAAAAAATATATTTCTGTTATAACTCTTAAATTATGGTAATTATTAATTGACAAGTCATAATATTACATTTCCACCATTTATATAAATATACTCTGAAATGCCGTAAATAAAATAAATAATAACTAATGTGTAGGTATTTTCGTTACATATGGAACATCTAAAATTAATAATTGAATATTTATAATTTACTAACAATTTGCTATTTATTTATAATATCTAAATATTAAATTATGTATCTATTGAATGTACAACTCATAACTCAAGAGTCATATTTATTGAATTACCTAACTTAAATTAATTTATATAATTTATAAGTTATACAAGTACTAATTTATAGGCATATAGCATATATGGGTGTATGCATAGTAAGTAAAAGTCCCGTTAGAATTTAGACAATCATAATATTATGAAGTATGGAAGATGTGCCTGTTTAAAAACATACTTTATAATGAAATTGACAACAGAGTAACAGACATTTCCTATAAAACATTTAAATGATAAATCAATTGTACAAAACTTCCATTCAAATTTTAAATTACAATAACTTCAGATTTTCAATATGTACTTTTTCGTACTTATAATTTAATTTCATGTAACTTTTTTTTTCAGAATTACGCCATTTTATTGAAATTTATTGTACATTATTCCAAGCAAATTGAAAACGGGACAAATTAGCGAACATATTAAAACACAATTATAGTTTTAATGTGCAAGCGAAATTGATTTTTCTTTGAGTTGCCCAATTAGGTATATTAAATAATTTCATCGAATAATTACATATTTCAAGTTTAATTCCAATAAATTCTTAAGTCTTAAACGATTTAAGTATAATTAATTATATAATATGTAAGTTAATACGATTTAGGTTATTATAGTACTTAATTATTGCGAATTAATGGTTTAGTTATAAGATGTACTTGGAAATCCATGTCAAAATTAATTATAGTACCAATATAGTAGCTTAATATTGTTAGATAATTTAACATCAAATTCTTTAAATATTAATACAATAACCTACTAAATTATACCAAAAACATATCTGTGATCAAACAATTTTTCTTGTGGAGTAACATGTATCTAGTAACTTGCTTTCATAGTAATTTAATATTAAATATTTTATATTATACAAAAACATATACATAGTATACATTTCAAAACTTTACACGCATCCCACCAAAAATATATTTGAGACCTACAGTTTAGGAACTTTTGATATAGAATATATAGGTAGTAATATAATAATTTGATTTTAATTCATTGCCTGCACATAAATTAAGTATTTTACCATTACGTATTACAAGGTATTAGCGATCCCTAATTTATTATAATATTTGTACAGTGTAGTGTTACAAATTACAATAGTATCATACCAAACATAATGAATGAAGTACTTTATTCAAGCAGTATTAGTAAATTGTTTTTTTTTTAAATTGTATTTATGTATCATGTATGAGCATATTATTTAAATTAAACGAATCTCAAGATTTCTAGTTTTCTTAGACTATTTTCACTTTTATGTAATATTATGAATTCAATTACTATTTAATAAGTGTAATATCGTTCTAATATTTCTAGTGCTACTTTTCATATAATAATATGTAACTTATCATTGATATCAGTAATCAGTATTCTCAATTTAGTTTTTAGTAGGTACCTAGGTGTAAAGATTATCGTAATTACTCATAAGTGAAATTATAAAGATAATATTATACAATTATTACAATTGTCGCACATGATTCATTTCATGTAATCTATTACACACTTACACAAGCAAAAAATGTAATACATGACACATTGACATGAATGCTCAGATAAATAATTTATTTATATCATGAGTTAATATTGTTATTTGTTACGTTTTGCTTAGGTATTATAGTGCTTACTCTGTTCTCTCCAAACAATTTCTTGCTTTTTATCAGCTTCTTCGGCTTGTCTCTCTTCTTCTTCTTTTTTATTTTTCATTTTGTTATAGATTTCCGATGTCCGTTCTTCCATTACTCTCTGTTCCCAATTTCTCACACGCTCGGACACCTGTACAACAGTTCAATGTACTTTATGTTCAGGGGCTCATCGAACGATTGGTTCCACTCACAGGTATATACGATATACAATTAGTGATACAAAACATACACAATATGATCAGAAGGCTATATTTTACATCACATTATGTTATATCTTATATTGTATAATGCTTAGTATCATTCATATTATCATATATTATAGTCTCATAGACTTAGGTTATTTTATTATTATGAGGTATAGTATAAGCTATAAACTAAATACTTTGTTGAATGACAGTTCTTTTAAAGCCCCACGAATTGGTTGTGTGGCTACACATGGTTTTTTTGCATTTCTAGTGTTCAGATCTTCTACGGAGCAGTAAATCTCTTCAGTCGCATGCGAATATTTATTTTCAGGAGGATTAAATTGAGTTTTTGCTTTGCTTTCCAACATTGCCATTAATTCCGATTCAACTTTTAATCTAGAGTGGTAAAAATACAAAATAAATTACATTATACTTCATAATTGATTAATAATTTTTTAACCTAATTGATTTTAATTGAAAATCAATAACATAACTTATAAATGCTAATAAATGGTATATTCGTATACTTATTTTATATTTATAAATATTTTAAATTTCATAAAAATAAATATTTATGTACTGTGGAGTAGTTAGGATTTTGTTTCAGTGGGAGAGGGAGTGGATAATTTGTTAGGCAAACATCTGATGGAGAATTTCGCCCCCCTTTCAGCACCCCCACCACATCTATGTTTTTTCTAAAATAATTTAAACTTTAAACTCGTTAAAGTAATGATTTACAATAAAATCAATATGGTATTCATTTTTTTTAGTTGTATCACCACTTAGGGTAGCACACTTTGTACATTACTCATTAGTGGAGCTAGGATTTAAATGACATAAAAATACACAAAAATGCACTAAAAAAATGTAAAAATGACCTAAAAGCTCTAAAAAATGAACTTAATAATTATATTACTTTTTCGATTTATACCCACTTTGCCAAATCCCAATTCGCCGAAAACTCAGTTTGCAGACAAATATATCAGTTTTAAAATACTTGTAATATTATTTTATTAATATAGTTTCAATTTTCCCAATTCGCCGACAGGTGACAATAATTTTATCGAAAACTGGTGTAACAGTGATAATATTATGGTATGTTGTCGATATAAGTTCCAAGGTAATGAGTCATTACCCTCACCAAAAATATAATATTATACCTACTGAGAAGTAACATAGTCTGAGACTGTACCTCAGTTTATTTATAAATTAATAAAAACGAACCGCAATTGTTCAGTCTCGTGTTCTGCTTGTATTCTTGCAGCTTCTCTAGCCTCTTCTTCTATTATTTGTTCAATAGTCTTGTCATCTTTATGCTCACCCATGATCCATGTCCAAGGGTTGCCATTTGTATCCAACATCCATTGTACTTTTTTTTTATCTAAAATACAACCCCGTTAACTCAAAATTAATTTATTATTGCCTATAGGTATACACGATATACTATTTCAATATCTGTAATATGTATACGTATATTGAATTTTACTTTTTTGTCGTTTTGGATATGCGGGTTTAATGTCCTCGTTATGATCCCATACACTCCAACGTCGCACTTGCTCTTCGCGCATTCTACAAAATAGAGTTTGTTTTTGCGTTTCGTCTAATTCCGCCAGCAGCTCTGGATCAACGTACATGTCTTTGAGAATCTGCTGAAGCATGGTGAATCTAAAATGTAAAAACAAGTAGTTTAGATGGCCTGCTTAATAGTTTGATGTAGTACTTTACTAGTTAAACTATGGATAATTGATTTTTTTTGCACATGTACATTTAATTCATTTTCTTTTTATCACGCACCGTTTCGCCAACTCGGAGTGAAAGTGAACCTACTGTATTTTATAATTTATTTTTATTTTCAAATTGCCAAATGGGCATACAATAATTGAGTTTTTTTATATTATTAGTTATAGATTAATTACAATTAATTTGATATCATTTTATTCTAATTATTTGGTACCGGCAGCTACGTTCTGCCTCAATTTTTTTTGTATAATAATTTATTTGGTATATAATTTATAGTTTATATTCATATAGGTAAGTATATTATTATAATAAGTGTCACATAGAATATACCAATGTCATTATTCATAATTTCAAATTGTTTTAATAAATTACAAATTTTGGGTTTAGATGAAATAACAATTAAGAATTATCATCGATGTATGGTATTTTAGCTGCTGTTTGTTTTAATGTAATTCATGTACCTAGGGTTAATGAGTACAACTCATTTCTGTTCTGCTTAGCTGAAGATAACGTGTAAGGAATAAGATAGGTAATCATTCTAATAATGAAAATCGTTTACGCAATAATTGTATTATTATTTATTATTACATAGAGAAAGTAACATGTATCAACGAAAATATGTATGCTATATATTGTTATGTTTATTCGGTTATTCCTTAATCTTTAAATTAAAAAAAAATTCTAGATCGTTTCGGTCTTTTGAGTTTTAACTACCATATAGTACATATAAGTATATAACCTATATTATCAATATTTAATTAATGTACACATATATTGGCACAAAAATGACATTAATATATCACACAAGTAGGATTTTAATGTCCTCAATTTACTAGTCTGTATTGTAAAACATAATGTTTACTGTTAATCACTAATTAGCAATTACCTCTAGCTATCCTAACTTTATGTATGTCTTTTGCTATCAACATAATATTATAATTATGTATTCTTAACAGAAAATTACAGATAAAAACTGTACTCTGTAAGATCTATTCATCTGGAACATAGAATAGTTCTTTGTATTCAATGTACCTATTCGGCTACTCTTACGTATGTAGTTTTAAGGAAAATTGCAATTCAGTAATATTTCTAGTATATACTTGTTATAAACACATACAATATAATAATATTATATATTACATTAGTACAAAATATATGGCGGTGTTATTCAACCAGGGTCACTTCCGCGTCAATATTTCAATACGTGCCTACATAGAAAGCGTGTCAGGGCTAATATAGGAGCTTAAAACACAGGATTTACGTCATTATTGATAGTTTCAATATTTATCCTATTGTTACACTTAAAACTGAAATAATAATCAGCTCTTTATTGACGGGTTTATAACGCACTTTATTACACATGAATAATGTACATACGCGATGCATACGTCATATGTCTGCTGTCATGTTTCAAATAGTACAGGTATAGGTACTTAGTATGGGTAGGTTTTTTTTTGTGAAGAAAGTGAATATTTACAAACTGTATTGTGTATAGTGTACAATGTACACTGTATATAATCAATATAATATGTACCTACTTAATACATATTATACAATAAGACACAAGGACTGGGTGACATTTGAGTGAAACGATGGTGTCCATTGACATTACTTCAAACACATATTTTGTGTAGAAATATAGGATACACATAATAATTAAGAAAGTCTACGAGCTATTTGCGCTTTGTAAAGCCTAGGTAGTACAAATCATTTAGCGAAAATCACGAATAGAATGTTTGTTGCCTAGAGAATATTATAGTATATATAGTCACCCTAAACGTACACAGCAATACATGTAAGTCACGACTGTTGTAAACTTAATTATTGATATTTTCGATTTGCTAAAATCTATTATGCGTAATGTGGTATGTGGTATTACTATAATAATTAATGTCTATGACTATTATTTTTATTATTATTCCGACCCATATTATTGTTATTATTTTTAATTAATTGGTTATCATATCATATAATTATATTACTTTTGCAATGTTTGTTAATGAGACTTTTGCGGCTTCGTTGTTTCTTTAACAGATCTCGACACCTACGGTCAAAAAACTGTCATAGAACACGGGTTTTCCACAAAAGTGTTATCGTGTTATACTGTTATCACCAACCAGTTGTGTATAAAAGCGCATTCGACCGACCACCAATCAATTGGTCTTTCATCTGAGCCATAGTAAAGCCCACCCAACCAGACTTATGCGATTTAGTTTAACGATTTCACGATTTCGTGCCGTGGGAGTACTCTCCACTGGTAGTAAGACCAAATCGTGCTGACCCTACCTGAAAAAGTCGATGTCAGTAATCGATTTTACCGATGTTACGTTCATTCTTTCATTTCATATCTATACAAGTGTTAAGTAATTGAAATCCTAAATGTTTGTACCTAGTGTTCAAATAATCATACTTTTTGTAGGAGAATACTCAAGTTTTCAAGTTTAACTCAAACCACGGGAAAACCTTGAACTTGTATCTCTCTCTATCTTACTTTCTTTTCTACCTTTTGTATTTTGTAATCCATCAGTCAAAATTCAACAATCAATACTTGAACTCTGACAATAATACATTCAAGGATTTTGGTAAAAATTAGTTACATACTGATACAAATACACCATATAACTATCAAAAAATTAATTTTTAGTAGTAATATAAATAAATTCAAAAATATTTTTAGAAGTATAAACTGATAAGCATAAAGTGTCCACCCAGAACTGTTTCTTGTACGAATGATTTACATTAAATTCAAATTTAATACATCGATTTTGGCCTATTCAATAGATAATGACAACGTAGTACCGATTATATTAAAAAATTTAATGTTGACCAACTTCCCGGTTTTTTTAAACTTTAAACCTGCTTTTGGTACCTATAAATGTATAATGACATAAATAAATTAAAAAATAATATAACCTTTTGATTATAAATTAAACTACCTAGGAATAAGACTCAGTTATTCTTACCACACATAATTCATACACACTCGATTGTGCATCAACATTTTGACATTTTTACCTTTAATGCACATTGCTCACCTATTATAAGTTGAGCAATATAATATTATTATGTTACTATACATATTTTATTAGATTAGACTATAATACTACCCACGTTGTATTATACGACTACATAATATTAATATGGACGCAGCACATTTTGTTTCATTTATGATGAGTATTAATCCGAGATAATGATGTATAATATTATGTTTATATTGCCATATACGGCTATTATACTATAACCTATATATATACACACACACACACATACACACAGACACATGCATATCTTCATATAAGTTTGTGTGTGATATGAGTATATTATGACGTACTTATTAATTGCGGCTGTATATTATATGCGTTGCATTTTTCATAATCAAAAAGGGAAAAAACGGTTGACGATAAAAGCGTACAATATATATTAGTAGTATGCCACACAATATAAAATACGTGTAATAAATCAATAATATAATAAAATTGTAATGCTTTTGGTGTGACGACTAAATATCAGGAGATATTTATTAGCTTATGACGTTAGTCACAGGTGACAAAATATCGAGTTTTTCTTTCCATTCACATATTCAGACGTCATCCGTTGTATAATGTATAGATACTGGAGAGAGAAATGAATAAACCAACATAATAGAGGATGTATTGTGATATGTGTTAGTGCAAATAATATTTGGCTTGGTAACAAGTAGGAACCTGTAACAAGTAGGCACCCGGAATACGAAATAGTAAACATGCAAACAGCGTTTATAATAGATACCGACGTGTGTAGGTATCTCCTGAAATGCTTATCACTGCCAGCTATTATACTGTTGTTATGCTCATAGACCTAATACTTAGTTTATAGTTATATAGTATTATGGTATATGGTAGGACTTTAGATTTTTATAAAGCTATAATGGGGAATAATGTTAAAGTCCCTACGACTCTACTGTCGGCCACCGTTTACGTATTGTCCGTTTTTTCTGTACCAAGATATCGTACAAGTTGAAACATGGTTTTTTAATTCCTTAATTCAAAAGCAGAATATTTTTTGGAATACTTCGATGTTGGTATAAAAATTGAATTTTGGACTAGTGGTTTATGAGTTAAATTTACTTAACTTATAAGTATTTAAAATGCAGATAAGTGAGGTGAACTGGTACAGCCACACAGGGGTACTCCAAAAAATGTTTGTTCACTAATCCGCTAGTTTTAAACCTTTTTTGTTATTCGACAATAAGGTAGAATAAGGTAGGTCTACTCCTAGCTTTAGCTATCTAGACATAGAGATTTAAAGAAAAGGGTAATACATTTTAGAGTGCTAAGTGCGATAAGTAAATGACATTACAATTTTAAGTTAAGTGATAGTAACATAATAGTTAGAGGCTTAAAGTTAGCTCAGAATGTTTCTTGAGGAATCATGTCATGCGGACGTCCGCGTTGGAGGTGGCGTTGTGGAGGTGGTCTGATGTTGATGTGATAGTGCATTGAGCGTGTTGACTTGTGGATGGATTTGAAGAAGCTCACAGCCAAGTGTTTGATGTGGTCTTGAAGAGTTCGAATTTTGAGGCCTTTGTGTGTATATCTGAGTTCCTTACAAACCTTGGAGAGTTTGTTATCGTTCTTAAAACTTTGTTTTGGAATATTTGCAGTTTTATGGATGAATTTGTGCAGGCGTATGTGATTAATGGACGTAGCACTTGCTTATAAATAAGTATAGGGAAAGTTTTTTTTGTAGAGAAGACTTCCTGTTTAAGATAGGAAAGAGCATCCCTAGACGTTGATAGGCTTGTTGGAGTTTAAATGAGAGGTGTAGCCACCAGGTTAATCTTTTGTCCAACGTTACGCCTATAGGTACTTGACGGACGGCTTCCAGGCGATTGGTTCGTTGTTAAAAGTTAGCGGTAATGATTTACACTTTTTGATGGGTTAATT